TTCGCGCCAAACGTTGCAGAGATATTGTAAGTCGTCAGCCAACTCACCGACCGACCTTTCTACCGACGTACCAAAGTCACACCGAGCCTCGTGCTCTCGTTTCTCAAACCCACGTGTTCGCAGGCGAAGCAGGCCACATCTTGGTCGGTTTCGGGCTGGAAGGTGACATCCGAAGGATGGCAGAAACGTGACAAGGAAGAGCCTGGGGACTTTGCAGTCCAAGTGCTTAGGCTTAGGGGCAAAAGTCAGCGTCAGCCAAGGACTCCTACCCGTGGTTAATGTCTCGATGCTACGCTGGCAATTTTCCTTTCATTGAAATGCAAGACCTTGCACGTAGCGTGGCGCCCAACTCTTCGTTGGACTACCTCTGCGCAGTGCGACTGGGTCTTTCCCTTGACAAGTCATTGCAGTGCGACACGGCTTGCTTTGTTTTCAAGACTGCCTCATGATGTGAGCTGTTCGGTTTGAGCAATTTTCAGCGTTTTAATTTTGCATGTATGTCATACTGCCAACCAGTACGGGAGCTTTTGCAGATACTTCAGTGCTTTGGTCAGTCCAGGCAGCAATTGGGAACTGCGACCCTTGCCGGATCCTCACATACGGTACGCGGCCCTGGATGCGTGGGTTTTACTGGCACTTCTGGGCCACTTTCTGCACCAAGACCGTGGCATGGAAGCTCGGTCCTCAGCCGAGTTGACATGTTGCGCAGAGTGACTGAGAGCTGAGAGCTCCGTCATGGCTTCATGCAGCCTTTCAGGAGAAGGCAGACCTTTGTGAGCTCGCCAGGGTGTCCGTCTCCTCGGCCTCAACGTGACGTGGCCTGAGCAATGACCCAAGTTGGGGGCTGTGGGGCTCCCTCATACCCGAATACTGCGAAATCTGAACTTGCTGAACTCGTGCAGATCGCTCTGCAGGTTCTCTCACTCGGGCCTTGCCCTTGGATCAGGACGGGATGAGCTCGGAAAGAAACGGAACTTTCAAGATGTCTTCAGCCCTGAGCCACTGCAGGCGTTTGTGCAACTGCTATGGCCTTGCGAGAGCTGGGCGTGGCTGATGATTCAATTCTGTTTTGGGGGGATGGCTGCCGCTTGGACTTGCTTGTAGCATCTTCAGTTTCTCGAGTCCATCGGCTGTGATGTTCGATCAACGCCTGCGCGAGGCTTTCATGATGTGCAAGTTTGCAAGACGCTCGCGTGTCTGGCTGTTGACTCATCAGGCCACAGCACAGACGTTTGTACACTCTGCCACCAAGTCTACGGAGTCTACGGCTACAAAAAAAGAGATCAGGTGAATCGCACTTCTGCCTGGCGGTTTTTGCTGACGGTTCGGCGAGCCTGAGCCGCTTGCATGGAAGACGACCGGGGCTTTTAAGTACGTGCGACGAGCCGCGAGGGCCCTTTGATCCCAGTGCGCCATTTAGTACTGTTCTCGGAAGGTATGCCACGGCTTGCACAAGCGATGAACTGCATCTCTGCACGACTCGTGACGGGCGAGGAGCATAAGCTGAGCTGTGCCGAAGAAGTGAGAAGAATCGAAGGGCGAGCATTAAGAGGTCGATGTGCCATGGCTCTGACGTCCCAGCTTCTTGCCAGGAACTGCGCGAGCACTTCAGGCAGCCCCGTGGATGTGTTGGTCCGGTGGGCCCAGCAATTCTAGAGCCCCTTGGCGACTTTAGCGACGGAATTAAACTAAAGAGCTAAGCGAGCTTTTTCGCCTGTTGCGAACTACATGTTGCAGGAAGCCACGATGCACCCACGCTACTCTTGTGCGCATACGCCTCAAAATCCTAACGACTTGAGGGAGCAGCATTTTGCTGCTCAGAGAAGCCAGTCAAGACGAGAATCCGATTTCGCTGGCCGAGCCGGATACTGGCAGCTGAGCAGATGCCGGCAGAAACAGCAGAGACTGCGAGGATCGGCGAGAGCCGGAAGTTTCCCCTGCGACGGTGCCAGCATAGCTCCCCACCCCATGGGTCAAGCACAGATCCCAGACGAGCTCACGCATGGCTCCCATAGCTGGCCAAGATTGGCCAAGCATAGCTCAGGAAGCCGCCTGCGCGTGTGGTGCTTGACGACGGTCTGTCGACAACGAGCGCGGCCTGTCATCCATTTTCAGATATGGTCGATGTAAAGCTTCAGACCTCTGCGGCAGCACTGCATCTTCCCGCATGGTACGAGTGTAATGACATAGGCTCTCAAAATGCGTCTTCATTCGCCTTCATAGCATCGCCCCGAACATGCACATCTGCCAAAGTAACCGCAACAGCTTGCCCCGAAGAAAAGTTGCGGGGGGGTTGTAGTTCTGTTTGCCAGGGTGGCATACCTGCACTTTCCAAGCGACGACGTTCATTCAACGGATCCTCGAACAGAATCACTTTTCAGTAGGCTTCTCCTGTAACATCTACTTCAGACTACTTCAGAAATCGACGATGACTTGATCATCATTGCACATCCTTGGTGGGTGTCCGATCTGGCCCAGAAACTCTCCTGTGGCGGTGGGTCTCCGCAGTGGCATTTGCTGGCGACGCAGCAGCAGATCCTTGAGACCCGGCCACATGGAGTAGCGTTTGAGCGTGGCCAAAGCCATCATAGAATGTGATGCAGCATATGGCATATGTAACCATGGTATCCGCCCCTGACTTGGTCGAGTGCGAGTGCCAAAATACCCGTGGTATCCTAGCATATCGAGTCCATGATGCCTCTGCCAAGGATTGGACCGGAGCCCGGGTGGCAGCGATCCGAGATTTTGACAACTGAGGCCGACACTTCGGCAAACAGCCTCACAGTCAGAGCAAGCTGCGGTGGCCACGCGAGAGGAAAAAGGCAACATTGGCTCAGCCACTGCACGTCACTGAAGGGGCAATCACAAAATGTCTCAAGCTGATGGGGCTGCAAGGCCCGTAGCATAAGTAGCAAAACTGCGTGTTCAGCTTGCAGACGGGCAAGTTTTGCAGATTAGAACTCTGCAGTCGGTTGTCGCTTCATCGCTTCGAGCCCGCCAGCACTGCAGGCCCTGGCCAGCAGGTGAGGGGACCAGAAGAGGAGGCAAGAATCTGTGCGACAGTCTTGGATCTGCTCAGCAGAACTGGGTTTCGGCTTTGTCTGATGTTCGAAAGCTGCTCTCCATGTGCAGGTGCCTTCCTCCGCAGCAAGTCGCTACCTGCATTGCAGCAGAGCCCGGCACCTCTCCCAAAGAATTCGTTGCCACTGCTTCGACAGTCGTCTGTCACAGATAGATCAAAGGCTCTTCGATGACTTCAGGGCTGTGCAATGTAAACGGCTGTTAGCCCTGCATGTGTACAGCGTAGTTTTTTTCTTCATGCATGCTTGGAACCGGCCGCTCTTGAAGGAGAAGGCGCTCTACCAAATGTGGTGGCAAGCGCACGCCAAGACGAGACATGTTTCTGGCTGCACACTGCCGGCTTGAGAAAGCTAGGGTTTGGATCATGTCAATGAGCTCGTCTGCATGGAGGTTTTGATGGCATCACTGCATGTCACGCGCTGAAGCTTGCAGGATCTATGTCAGCAGGGTTCCAAAACATCGAGTTCGAGTAAACTTTTGAGAGGCGCGCGGCATCTCCCAGGTTCCATGCCTTCCATTCAGCACCTACATGTTTCGAAGCCCACGGGGCTGGACGCACCAGCACAACATACGTGGCTCATGACCATGATCGCAGATAGCACAAGGACCGAATACATGCGATTGCATCCACGAAGCATCACCGCTGCCAATGCTAAACAGCAGCCCACATGGAGCGGCAGTGCGCCGTGAACCGAGGCCTGTGCCTCCACAAGTTGCGAGTCGTGATTTCTCCGAACTTGCCAGGTTGTAGTGGCAATTATTCAATAGCCGTGACTGCTGTTAGACTTATTGTGTAACTTACCGCACATCGTGTTAATCCGGTCACACCAGATACTTGTAAGCACAAGGCTGGAGTGTGATGCAAGAGCCGCGCTCGTGACACTGGACCCCCAGCTCATTTTCAGACGCCTGCTTCGGAAAGGCTCAACGCTAGCCCGGCGGCACTGGAAATGTTGCATGGCTTCAAAGGAGAGTTTCTTTGCTTCAGTTTTTTTCTCGATGATGGCTTTCCAGTGCCACTGCATTTCCAGGTTGGCTTGGCATCGTCTTTGCTCTGGCATTACCTGCATGGCCGCCTCAGCGGGGCCTCGCCTTTGCCATGAACCCCTTGGTGCCTCTTGTTTTCACCGCTTCAACGGAGTGAGAGACCGCGCTGTGGTTGAGTTGAGCTGGAGGGTTTGAAGATCACGGACTGCACACTGGGTTGGAAATGGGAGAATGTTGTGCAGATGCAGGTGTCTAGCGCTGTACCGATGTGGAAACATACCCGTTCTCATCTGGTCGTCGGACGCAGGTGTATGCTATCCGCGACCGGAAAAGCAGCCCAGAGCAGGTAAGCGCAGCCGCTGCCAAGCTTCGCGCTTCGTGGTAGCATCGGCAGGGCTTTTTTAGTAGCAGGTTGCCTTGAATGTGCTCCTGCAGCATCTGAGGATGAGCATCTGCTGGAGGACCCAGGTGACTATCGTCTTGTGCGACTTGGCTGCTTGAAACCAGAGAAAGTCCGACTGTCAGACCAGGGTGAAGGCATCAGGTTCTTCGTCACGAGGCTCAACACGCTGACACGACGAACTGCCTGGAAAGATGCGGTTAGCATATGGGATGAGCACCGTGCCCGCACAAAAAGCTACTGCTGCGGGGTGAGAGTTGGCTGGTTGTTGAGTTGCTGGAATATGTTGGCTGGGAAACTGCAGCCTTGATGGCATGATCTTTGCGCGAGCTCCGGTCGTCTCGAGTGTAGGACGAGTGTCGCTCTGTTTCTAGCATGTTTTTATCAAAATGAGGATGCGCTGGATTGGCAGCGAGCTAGAAGAGCCGGACTTCGTCCTTGCAATGAACGCTTTCGCGAGAGGCTCGCACTGGCAGGAGCTGCCGGCTGCTGTGAGCCCGTGAGCCGCTAAAACAGCAGCAGTGCGCGCAACATGGCGGAACCCGATGCGCAGGAGGCGGTCGAGCTTTTCCAGGAACTTCTCGGGAACCGTCCCCCGCACCTTTCCCTAGGCAGGCTACCCTCTTGCAGCGCCTAGTGGCTTCGCAGCTTAGCATGTGTTTAACGTGCTGGTCTGGGAATTGTCCAGGTCGCCACCGCGAGGACCTGCAGGCACCGTGGATTTCAGAATTGCGCAGCCGTGCAGAGGGGAAAGTGAAGCACTCTGTGCAGGCGGATCTGCGTGGCTACACTGCGGCCATTGCGAGCTGCAAGGCCGCCGGCGCATGGCAGGTGGCCGCGAGGCTGCATGATGCCACATGCCCTAAGACCTGCGGTCCGACTGCTGTAGGGACCCAGCGTGCAAGTGCACCAATCGGTGTTGGCCTAGTGCCCCGTCTTTCGGCACCAATGCACTTCTGCCCCCAACAAATGAGGCTGTGCAGATCTTGCAAGACATGGAAGTCGCTTCTGTCACGCCTGATGTTACTTGGTCTTCCATTTGCCGGATTGCGCTTCTTTGTGAGAACCAATCACGAGGAGAGTAAACTGGTTCATCCAAAGGTCATGACCTACAACGCCGTCATGTCAGCATGTGAGAAGGGCCGTGACTACGACGCCGCCGATCGTGTTTTATCAGAGATGTCTAAATGGGCCGCTTGGATTAAGAAGCGCTGCGCGCCGCCGGCTTTTCCTGTCCGGCAGAGACTAGGCGTGTCGGCGTGTCGTGAGCCGCTGAGGATCTTCCGCCAGATAAGGCAGCTCGGACACGATAAACCGCTAAACCGCTAGCCGTCGCGCTGGTTGTTGCAGTCAAGCGCGTTTGGGGCTGTTGCCAGGTGACCTACGGCACACTGATTGCAGCCTGTGGTTGCTTGGCCTTCGTGACAAATCGCGATTTTTCCCAATGCTGTCACTGTAGCCGTGGCCAGCAGCCAGACCTGAAGTCAAGATCCACGTGCCAAACATGTGTAACTGCAGTTTTCGAGGATGGGGCCTGCAATGGCAAACAGCCATGTCCTACCTGAGAACCTTGCCATGCAATCTGAAGACTGTGGTTCGACAGTGTTCATTGCGCGCCAGTGGACCTAAGCAGACGTTTGCATCAGTTGGGTTCTGCGGAAATTTTTGACTTCTCTACAGTGCTGGTTGTGTACCGGCTAAGGACGCGCGCAGGAGACTTACTTCAGCTTCGACATGTTCGCCTGCACTGCCAGTGACTCAGCGCAGTCGTGGGTGCGCTGGAAGAAGTGATACGTTCTGTCCTGGAAGTGAAGCACAGATAAGTAGCTGCTTAACTTGTTGCTGCAGGTTGTAGGCTCAGACGCTGGTGGCATAGTTGGGGCAGCTGTGCGCATGTCATGGCTGCGTTCTCCCTTGACGCCACTGCTTGGTTTGGATACTGGAAGCTCTGAGCCCCCAGACGAAGCTCGCAGCCAGAGCAGTAGATTGAGTGGTCGGTTTGCCAGCTGGACAGAAGGGTTCTTTTCGCCTTCGCCTCGGGGTGCGGAGCCGGAGCCCATCCCCGAAGAGGGGACTGGAAATATAACCATTCCAGCTGTGAACAGGCAGACCCCATGCTCATGCTGCCCTTGGCCTAAAGGACCGGCAGCGGGGCATCGGACCAACAGGTCAGGAGAAGGGTTTTTAGCTCACCTGCCAAGCCGCCCAGAAGACATGTTCCATGCACACCACCGGCAGCCCGGCCCGGACATCACGAGTTTGAGCAGCTACGTGTCTCGGTGGGCAGAAGTCGAATCGTCTGCGAGGTTACCAGAGCTGTCCCGACAGCTGTCCACTTTGAAACGAGAGGAAGGTTTTTCACAAGCAGTTCTTGAATGGGCCACTGCAGTGTATTCTGACATGGACCAGATGGACAAGACCGACACCTTGCCAGCCGTGCAATTGCAGACTTGCATGCAGCGAAATGAGAGGATGTCCAGTGCACATGTTTGAATTTTTGAACGGCCACCTTCCGCGAGAGGTTTCTGTAGTGACCGCGAAGTGAGGCGGCCCGGAAGTTTCCTGGTCAACGCTTGAATTCTTCGTCTCTCGTCAATCGGACTGGTCTTGGCTTCAACTGAAGTTGTGCTAGATGTCATAGGATCGTAGATGGTCGTAGCATAGCAGGGAATTGGTGCAACAAACAAGTGTAGCACCGAGTGTAGTGCCCCATGGTCGGCCCAGTGTCCAAAACACGGCCTCCATGCACGATTTTTCCAGGCGTCGGCCCTTGAGAGGCTACTATCATTTTCGTTGTTCTTTTTCGTGTTCCTACTTGTAGCCCCGTAACATGATCGTCATCAGAGTCACATACGATCCCCACGGGAAGCGATGATAGCAATAGTTTCGGCATTGCACAAAAGGGCTGATGCCTTGCTCTTGACTCTAGCCATGCAGACGTCTGCGCGGTAGTTTGGAGATTGGCCTCGATGCGAGTGGCTCGACTCGGGTGGTCTCAAACCTTGGTGTGTCGCGTGGGTGGCTCAAAATCGCCGCGAGCAGGGAAGTGTCTGAAAGAGTGTGTTTCTCGATTCTTGGGGTCGCATCGAGATGGTTTCAGACTGCCGGTTCACAATGCCTGACATCTGACAGTCTGAGGCTGCGATCAGCACGTGCGCGAAGGCAAGTCAATGGGCCGCCTCCTCGGCACTTCGAGCTTGAGGCAAGTATGCCCCAAGCCAGACTCAACAAGGAGCTCGCCATCTCGATCTTGAACGAGAGGGGTCGGCAACTGAAGGGTGCAAATGTCAGGCCGGGTATAGGGCGCAGCGAAGCAGGCAGTACCCGGAGTCACAGAGAAGGGCGTTTTCGACATGCAGGACTTACAATGCAGCCCTTAGCGCTTGCGCGGCGGCGGGGAAGGTGGAGCTGGCCCTGATACTGATGGAGGAGATGCAGGCACGCAGTGTGCTCAGCCCGGTACCTCAATCCACTGCAGCTGCAGCTTGTTGGGTTGTGCTCCACAGGAGTCGGGGATCACTCCTAACCTGATGACATATAGATCCTTGGAGAATGCATGGAGCTACATCCTGCGAGTCCATGCCATAACTCCCTCAGCTAGACGCTCGCAGCATCTAAGGATATCTCATCCAGTCCTGCGAAGATTCCGGCAGCTGGGAGCTGGCGCTGGACTGCAGTCCAGTGAGCGAGAAACTTGTAGCTTCTCTCGACGAGCCTGTCGCTGCTCGACGCGGCAGGGGCTCTGGCAGGATCTGACGGCTGAGATGCAGATGATGGACCTCGAGCCAAAGCAGCTCATTTTCGGTGCGCGGCCCTGGCGAGAGCATTTATTGCGCCCATGCGATCCCATACTATCCCAGACTTTCCGTTCTGCCCAGGCTCTGTGGCTGCGGCATGCAGAAGAGCCGGGTTGGAGAAGCTGGCGGCCGCCTACGACTGGAAGGTCCGGCGATGTTTGTGAAAGTTTATTCACATAAGTCTAAGCATAACGCATATTTCGCAAGAAGAGAGCCGAGGTCAGCCCGGCCTGATTGCCCAACTTTGGGCCGCAGCACGCGCAGCTGCTCCGGAGCTCTGAAATGGCTCGTCGCGTTTCACTTGCCTTTTTCGCATTAAAAAGTACGAGTGGAAAGCCTTCAGAAGGGTGCCTGCAAAGTCAATCCTGTCATCGCGCCGGCGGATGACGGATCGTAGTGCTCGATCTCCGGCTCGTAGCCATTTGACTGGCTTACTCGTCGCCTCGGCACATGTGTCGGCCAGACGCCCAGCCAACACTGCTGCACTCCAGTGGAAACGATGGGGTTACTAGCCAGTCTTCCGTTCATGTGGCTCATGAAAGGTTCGCTGCCACAAACGGTCCGTTGAGTGTGGTGGCCATATGCGGTAGCCAGTCCACACTGCTCAGCCGGGCCCGAAGCGAGATGGGAGTAAGCAGCTGAGAGATGCGAGTAACCTGACTTGATCTGCATTGGTGTGCTTAAGGTTTCGATGTGGACGAGACGGCAGGCCACTTGCTTGATGGTCTAGCTGCTGGGCTGACTTTGGGATTCAGCTCTTTTTTATTCATATCATTTTTTATTTTCATAATTTTATCTTGTTCTTAAAATGGCCGCAACTCCTCGGTGCAACCTGCCACTGTAGCTGCATGTGGGTTGATAAACCCAGGCTGGCTTCGCAGTCTGCCCGACCCTCAGCCAAGCAGCGAAAAATCAAATGGAAGATGAAACAAGCCTCGGGGTTGTTTTGAAGATACATAGCTTCGTGATGTCAAGCCCCGACTTCCAGCCAAGTCCATTTCCCGTGTTGCTTCCGTATGGCACAGGCAGGACAGTGGAGAAGCAGGAGGCAGCATGACGGGATTGAATGTCGAAGCAGTCGAAACATCAGATGCTGTTAGTTTCGCTGGGCATTGGTGCCAGGAGGGCCTTGCAGGAGGTGAAGCTGAGACAGATCTGACCTCAGCAGGGTTTTGCCTCGCAAATATCCGGAACTCGATCGCTGGGTGTGTGGACTTCTCCTTTTTGCCGGCAGCTATGAGGTTTGGTTCGGCGACCCGCGCCGTGGTAAATGGAGCGAAGGCACGCGTGGTTGGAAGTCTTTGCACGAAAGCTGTTTTGGCTGGGGCTGGTGCAGATGCTGAGTTGGGGCCAGCTGCCCCCGCCTGAAGCTGCAAGGCAGTGCAACAAGGATTTTGTGTTGGAACTGGGATTCCGACCAAGGAAGCAGTCGACGAAGTTGAGGTGCTGGAAGAGGCCTGCGAAGCTGCGGAGCTGGCTCAGCTTACAGTCGCCCACAGCTTTTTCAGAAGCCATCTTGGTTCTTTGGATGTTCTTGGAATCCCCAATCGATGGAACCACAGCAATGGTCAGATCAGCGAGACAGCCCCGACGGGTCGGCTCTGAATTCTTGTGAGATGGTTCTGACGGACTTCACCCGGGCACTGGAACTGCTTCGTGTCGTCCGGGGTGACGAGGCACAGAGAAGCGCAAGACTACCAGCAAGAAACCAAAGAAGACCTTACATACTACCATTTTGCAATCAGGCTCAAGGGGCCATTTCCATTTCTGGGTTTTTCCTGTCACGTCCTGTCTATTTAGGACCTACTTCCATAAAGAGGTATCATGCTGAAAGATCCATGGCCACAGGCCCTTTGGACATCCAGCTGAGTATCATCATCACAGTCCTGCCCTGAATATTCTGATCTTTGATGTTGGGAGGCTTAGAGTGACAGGTCAGCGCCTACTCCCAGAGCTCGGTGCGCGCTTTTCTGCGGCAGACGAAGGGCCAGCTCGAGGCAGAAGACCACTACAACCGGAAGGCTCAAGCCTTTGAGCTTGGATCCGCGGAAGATGCCCGGGCTGTTGGGTTTTACTTCGTCTCCTATGCCTGGGAGCCCCCCTCTGGTCTTGATGCGCGGAGAGGTCGGGAATAATCAGTCGTGGCGGTTCGGGCGGTGAGTGAAATCGGAAGTGTTCGCTGACTGCTTTAATCTAGCTTGCAGGTGTCACTGAAGGCGAGACTCCTTTCCTGCCATCCATAGAGCAGCAGCAGGGAAGGCCTGAGATTTTCGCCGATGCCCGCGACTGGTATGCACAGGCGCAGGCAAAGTCGCTGCTCCTTGAAAGCACGAGGAATTTCGGCAAAAATCATCCCGTGAGTTTGCTCTGCAGCCGGCTGTTCTGTCAGAGTCCAGGTACTTGGAGTGCCGAGGACAGCGCGAGCTTCACCCGCGCGACCTGCGGTTCTGGATCGAGAGAGCTAGCCTACCACAAAGTGGGCCAATCTTCGAGTTAGCCAGGAGCCAGTCTTTCTTTCTACTCGAGTACATCCTCCTGTCAAAAGCGATGATTGCTGTAGCCTCGCCTCATTACTTCTCCAGAGGAGAGGGCACCTAAATCAACGGGATTTGTTGCAAGTACCTGCAGCTCCCGACCCGGGGTCTTGAGCAAAGTCGCCTTTCGTGCTACAGAGGATGGTGCTTGTTCGAGTTCGCATCGAAGCTGGCGACAGCTCCAGACTCAGACCCCGCAGCCCTGGGCATAGCCTGGAAAGCCTTCGTCTCCTTCGGCAGCAGGCTCGGCATGGACTTTCATGGCTTCTTTTCGTGGCCGCTCTTGAGAGTCATCCCGGGTGCGTATAGTTGGAACATTGTAGACTAACTGATTACTATCTTTTGACACAAATACAGATTTGCAGCCCGGGCATCAAAGGTTAGCGGTTAGCACTCATGATCAGTCTTCATGGCGATTAGCGATCTCTGCACGAAGCAGCTACGACATCTTGCTTTGCCCGTCAGCATATCTTGATGTCAATAACTTCAATAACAATAGATGTCCTCATGCACATCGGCGGGCGGAGCCGGGAATCGTGCTCTCGGAACATGATCGCAGGAAAGACGGATTTCCCGTGTCTCTGTATGCCGACGTAATACGCTTCATCTCCATTGAGACCGCGGAGTTTTCAGTGGCGACTGATCGTGAAATTCTGCTGAGTCACGTGGACAAACTCTTTGTCTCACGGGAGGCTTTTGACCGGTTTGCAAAGTTCGTTGCGCTGGCGCGGCTTGGCAGGTCATGCTACACGCGTGAGGATCGAAGACCCTTCGCGCTGGTGGCTTTGGAGGAAGGCTTCGAGGAACTGGGAGACCTGCTAGCGGCAGAAGCCCTTTTCGATGCGAGGAAGAGCCCGGACGCCCTGCAAAGTTGCGACGAGGCTCTGCGCCCTCTGTTTGCCAAGGAAAGGAGACAAGCTGTTCGTATACATACCGTGGAGAGCTTGCAGCTCTTGGCGATGCAAGCACGGCACGTGCAAGACGGCGGAGCCCAGTGATGGGTATCGAGTCCAGGAGTGGCCAGGAGCAAGAAGGAATGGCCAGATCGTTCTGGACACTGCGGCGTTGCGCTGCCTTCTTGCCACAGGTTTGGAAGCACGTGATGCGCGCCAAAAAACGAATGATGCACAGAAGCTGAAGGGCCCTGCAGCGTCTGCTGGCATGAGCGAAAGACACAGGTCTCTATTCAATGAAAGCTTTGATCCTTGAATTGCCTGGTCAGACTCGTGCTCTGGGAGGAGGCTGGCGGCGAGCCCTTCCCTCATCGGACCATGGGAGCATGGAATCTCTTAGTGCCACGCAGTTCTTGTTTGGTTGCATACTCTTCATGGCCTCAGGCCTTGAGGTGTGCCATCCAGGAGTTCAAGTGGGGCCAGCACCTCACAGCATTGTCTTCCACAGGTCTTCCAAACACTTGTGAAGATTCGCATGTTGGGGTTGGCTAAGGAGATTACACGACCAAACCGAACACCAGGCAGGCGCACGGCAGCCAAGGGAGGTGACGAGAGACCAGTCCCGAAGTTGAGGTATCGATACACGCTCTGTGCCATCCACGGCGACCCGCAAATCGGCATAGACTCTTCGCCCTCAGGAGGTGGGAGATTCAATCATCCCGAGTATCCGGGCATCACGAGCATGATGTTGCAGGCCCAGCGAAACGCGGCCCCGGCCTGCATGTGGCAGCCCAGGCGAGCGGTGTCAATGTGAAAGCACACTGCAGTAAGCGAGTGGGCTTGATTCCGAGGTGGAGCTGGAGGTCGTCATCCCGGCAGCTGATGGTGACCACCAGGCCGGATCGAGGGATCCTACAGGTAGTCCCTCAGAATGAATGCACATCACCAGCATGGGACAGGTGTTCTTCAACCGTGGTGTGGCTGGCTCGCAGCGATTTGCGCGCCTGTCAACGGGGACGCGAGAGACACAGCCTCAGGTCTTGTTTTTGCAGATCTAGATCCATACACATCATGTGCGTGGATTTACTTTGTTTGCCTCATGTAGAGGAGCGGACCTCGGAGTTGGGAGCAGTGGCAGTGGCTCTCGAACGGACTGGAGGAGGTGCACTGCAACTGCCGAGATCGAGTGCGGCCAGCGTCATTTCGATTCTGGAAGCAAGGCTCTGCTGAGCTTCATCGGACGCGCCCACAAAGGATTTGAACTGCGATGCGCATTCTACGAAGCGTGCGGGGCTTGGTGTCATCATGGAAGGCGGCCCACAAAACTTCATATTCGTTGCATGAGGCATTATCCGCCCGTGATGAGGGCGCTTGCAGCAGCTGAGAGGATCGTGTTTCTGCTTCGGCTACCTGTTAGGGACGTTTGGTTTTCTGTAGGCCCGAAGCCCTGCAACGTTGCGAAGGTAGCCGCGAAGCCTTCCGAAGTCACAGTATGACCCCCACCTCAAAATAAAGCTTGCCAAGCTGATGATGCCCCGGTGCCAGGAGAGGTGCTTCTGTGCAGATCGCATCCCACCCAGTGTGTTGATGTCGCAAGAGGGCACACCCGACTCATCGAGCAACATGTCGTGGGTAGGTCATGGACTGGAAAATTGCATCGTGGTCAGATGACAAAAAGGCGCACGACGATTTCCTGAACGTCATTTGCTGTCTCAGAATATCGGGCGAAGGTTTGGTCCCAGCGCGGGCCACAACACTTGAACTATTGGGCCTTGGCAGAGAGCGGTTTGCTCAACTCGGGGTCTGAAGCTCGGACTCGGGCCCGGGGGCAAGGAAGGGAAGGCGGGGGGTCCGGATGGGACCAGGGCCGAGCCCAGGCGAGTGTTCCATCGGACCAGGCCTTTAGCAGCCATCAGCGGGGTGCTCGGGACTGTCCGTGAGGCATCCTTTCTGGTTTTTGCTCGAGACGTTCTTTCGGGTTGCAGGTCACAACAAGTTCATCATCCTTACGGCGCCAGATGGAGCACTGTCTGTGTGGCTTGGGCCTCGGGGACAGTAAGCACTAGCCGCACTACTGGTAGCAGCTCGTGTACAGGCCTCCTTCCCGTCGCAGGTGATGGCAGATATTACGTCGTCAGACGTAGTCATGTGTAGCTCTCGAGGAAGTTACAGCCGAGACCGGCGATTGAAACGAAAGCCATCGCTTAGTGTGGGGCCGTTTTGCTGGCATTGCCCAGGACCGGTTCTACTAACATAACTGCTGGCGCCATCTTTGGTCACTCCAACGTCGGGCACATTGTCGCACGGCCGCTTGCCAAGCGCTTCAACCATCTGCTGCTGAAGCTTCCAAAAGTTTGGTTTGTCTCGAGTGTCTCTAGCGTTAACTTGCACGAAGCTTGCTCGCCGTTCTGTCGCACTTCCACTTCCATAGACTGCAGCCTTGAATCCCATGCAATCAAGTCGGAGACTAAACATGCGCCGTCCAGCTTGCAGCTTTGGTCAACTCATGGGCAGTGTGCGTGGAAAAGGGACTCAGAACAGCGTTAAGCCGTTAAGCGGTTTCGGCCTTGCACTTGCGCACTGACACTTTTCCCTCAAGGCCAGCCCTCTGCAAGAAGTACATGGCGTATTGGGAGCGGCTTACGCGGGACCCGGAGAAGAAGGCGACCGGGCCGCATGGCTGGCGGTGTCGGAGCTTGGTTACGTTGCCAACGCAGAGAGAAACCGGATGCAATCGGCAAAGCAGTACGTCTAAAGCCTGTGTTGGCATTGCTCCTGACTTAGCTTCTGATGTTTCATGTTTCGTGGCTTGTGGGACAAATTGCGAAACCTTAGTCGAGCCATTCATTCGCGATCAAGATTCCTGCCGTTGGCTGCGTCCGGCAATGGCCAGGATTTGGCCCAGTTCAATGAGCAGCTTTCCCCACTGCCCGAGGAGACGGATGCTCTTCGCATGTAGAGCAGCACTTGCGAAGTGTGGCGGCCCGTAGGAGGAGAGCAAGTGGACTGAGCTGGTTCTCTTCTCACCGCGATTGCGCCAAGCCCTTGTGTGTACATGGACCCCGCTGTGTGCAGTACTTTCTGACCTGTTGGCAGTAGCGATCAACTGCATCACGCCACAGAAGATGTCAGGCTGGGCTGATGCTTTGTCCTTCATGGCCCAACTGATCCTCAAAGCAAGGCCACAACCTTGGCGCCTGTTCTGCTTGCAGCACAGTAACGTGCATCAATGACCCAATATCTCGTGGAAAAGACGGTGTCGAGGAAGTCTTGCAATCACCACATGCCGAAAGGATGCGAACAAGTGCAGGATACGTGTATTTCTTAAATGCCCCAGCAATGGACCCCAGAAGCCGTGCCTGCGATTGTGCGAGTGTGCGAGTCGAAATGCCCGGGTCATGAGCATACGCAAACACCAATTTCGTGGCGAGGGCATAGGGCACTGAGCGCTTGACTTGAGGCACAGCGTAGCGTTTACTGCAGCGTTTGGCATAAGCTGGTGGCTCAGTTTTGTGTGACTCCCTTGTAACTTATGGCAGATGCTCCCGGTCCAGGTCGCGAAATATCTCCAGCACTCTTGGCCGCTGGGTCAGAAGGGGCAGGCATGCAGAACGACTGACGCATGACAGGTGGCTATGTAGTCCTGTATGCTGTGAGTAGCCACCCGCTTCGATGGTCAGGCATGCCAGTGCCGACCTACTTGCTGCTGGAGAGCCAGGGCAATTGGCAGGCATCAAGAGATGCAGGGGTCCAAGCAGCAGTCCACGTTGAACAACGGTGCGCACGGTAATTCGAAAGTGTGCAGTCTTCCGAGGCTGTTCAAGCGCTGCAGCGTCATGGGCCCAGTAGCTGCATTTCTTAACAGCAGCAGTCGACACACCTTGGTGCAACAAGTTCAGTCAGACTGTCGACACGAGACTGATAGCTTCTGAGGAAAGTCCAATGTTCGAGTTGCTTTTGGGATGCACATGGAGGCCGTCTCAGTGTTCGGAATTTGCATGCATATGACTCGTTTCCTTTTGGCACCTCAGCTACAGTTTGTTGTTGTTGATGGAGAGTCTAGGCGCATCTTGCCATCTTGACCGTTGACAAGTTCGTGCTCCACTAGCACTTGCGCCGTTTCAGGGTCATGTACCATGCTCGAGTCTTGAGTTGTGCTACACTAGGACCAGAGGTGCGGAGGGCTGTACAGGGAGATTATCCCGACTTGACACTATCGGATACAGGGACCAGGGCAGAGCCGATCTTGCTTCCTTGCGCAGGTCCCTCCCGGCAAGCCGCAGCCACAAGGCTCGGAGCTTAGAGCAGGCAATATTGATTCGTGCGCCTTGTGCTGCTTCCTTTTATGTGCATGCACATAAAAAGTAGCAGCACGATGTCGGCTCAGGTGGGGCTTGGATACCGGAGACGCTTACAGGGCTGAACGAGCATGCAGCAGCCCAAGGGTCTCTGTAGTCCGTCTTCTTACACACATATGCTAGCAAACGCACTATGTAAGCACATACAGGCTCGAAGAATGACGGAGGTTCAGCGTTCGCGCTATGCCTCCTGATATTCTAGCCTACGATTTCGTGCCCTTGCATTGCGAGACTCTTGATGGCACGGCAGAGCGAGAGAGAGATACATGCACGAGACGAGATAGAGGATCCAGTCAGCATGCACTTCCACATGACCATGCTCGAGTGCCTAGGTGCGGTATGTGCATACGAAGATCCTGCTCATAGATATGTTCTCAGACGAGCCAATCGTCTCTTGGCCGCAGGAGTGTTGGATTCCCCAGTCGTACGTGTATTCAGCAGGTGGCTCGCAAGCAGTGGGTTGTCCTCTAGCCTGTCCACAGCCCCCTAATGGCAGGCTGATGCGTGCTTAGGCTTCCCGATCACACCGCGACCTCTGCACAATATGACAAAGAGACATAGACACAGCCCTTGTTGAGTTGACAGCGTGCCTGAGCTATTTCACGGACAAGCGGAAAAGTCAGATTTGGAAACAACGTTTTGTTGTGCGACGAGGAGGTTCTCTTTCAAATTCAGGCAATGATATTCGTGACCGACGTCTTGAGAGTGTGGGTTCAACGATCCTGGTGTCGGCTGTTCAAGATTCAACCCAGGTTGTCTCCGGCTTGCATCTCAGCAGATGCTGGCACAGTACGCTGACCCGTTGCTTGCGACTGGACATGGTCGCGGTGTAGGCAGTGGAAACTTCTCAAGAGCTTCCATGGAGTCGAACGATGTGCCCCTGCTGCAACTACGACGCAGGATCACGCGAAACCGGAACCCTTGGGCAGCTTGTGCAACAGGAAAATGTCGTGGTGGTTCGTGGCAATACCAACCTGCCTGGGCTCCTATGCTGAAAAGTCTTCCGAGAGGCTTCCGAATGCAAAGTTCCAAGGTCCGACGCCTACTCCGTGGAGTTTTTCCGCATCTTCGAGCACATGCGCTTTCGAAACCACGTGCAAGGCCTTGTCGCAAGCTTGCCAGCGGCTGTAAGCCCGGCGCAGCACACAGCACGCCTTTCCAGCTGCAGGCATTGATAAACGGGTCGAAGTGGAGCCTCCAGGTCCCCAGGCACATCTTCCTAGGCATGTTTACCTGAGAAGACTCGCACATGGCCTCAGGCCGAGGCGCTTGACGAGGTGATGTGTCGTTGTGGTCAAGCAGTCCAGCACCCAGTGCTGCTCATCACGTGATGGCTTGCCGGTCCTTGTGACAATGAGTGGTGGGTAACAGCCCAGAGTCAGAAACATCTGCCCATGAATGAAGTGTAACCAGATGTAGCCAGGTCGCGGAGAGGACCGTGAAGAAAGCAGGCTTCCACGGAAGAGCTGTCATTCGGCTTCAGCGGGAACTGTCTCCTCGATGCAGCTGTTCGTGGGTGCAGGCCCAAACGTGGGGCGACGATTCCGATGCTGTGCTAATCCGCAGCGGCTGTCTTGTGGATTCTTTGTCGGGGCCGTTCGGAAACGAGCATCATCTTTCCAACGAGACCTTCGGCACTGGAGGCCTGGACTGAGGATGCACAAGCAGCACCAAAAGAAGAGGCGCAGGTGCGGCTGCTGCTGTCATGCAGAGCCCGTGAGGCACAAAAGCTTCTCTGTTTTGCCAGGAACCGTGGCCAAGGTGTTGTTACTCCTCTCCTAGCTTCCCGTCCCTTGAGAGGCAGCTATTCAAGGACTGTGTGCCATGAGTTCACCATGAATTAGAAAGGAACTCCCTCTAGCCTCGCATGCGTCGCAGCGGAATTACATGGGCAAGGCACTTGTACTCGCACAAAGCCAGGACCTGCGCAACGGGGCCACCAGCACAGTGCCGTTTAGTTTGGATTCACACCTCAAGTGTGAAAAGATGTCTTTACGGCTGCATGTAAATGGCGTACAGTCCAATGCTTTTTGCGCTGAGTGGTCTCCTTGCCAGGTCTGCTGTACCCACTCAAGAGGAGGAACAGGCTCTTGTTCGTCTTTGCAAGCTATTCCAGGTAAAGGGGGAAGAAGCACAGATTAAGCCCAGATAGGGGCACGGGTTTCGACGAAGAGAGAAGTGGGAAGGAGGGCAGCAGCGGCGACAGCTTCGCCAGTGCGGATGACGGACTGCTGCGGCCTGAGATTCCACGCTTCCCCCCTTTGAGCGGCATAGCACCGTGGCAGCAGTGTCGCAAGACGCAAAAATACAGCATCCGCAACCGTGGCTGTGGGGTTTTGTCACGGAAGCAATGTCCACGAAGTGCGCTGCGGCTGTGCCATCTGAGGCTTGAGCTCTGGGACCTCTGCGGGGTCAGTGAGGACCCTGCAGTGTCAGCGGCTCAGAGACTCAGCATGCCCCGCGATGTCGGGTGTCAGATATGGTATTGGTAACTATTATTCTAGCTTACACTTAATTTCATGTACACCTTCTTATCCGTAGCCATTTTGGCTCAAGCCATTTTGGCTCAAGCCGATCGGGCCATACCGAAAAATTCGGCGTGGGAGGTGGAAGTGAATAGGCTCGCTCGATTGCAGCCATGTCGTTCCCTCCCGCTGGCTTCCATCAAGGTCGGCAGATGGCGGCTCCGATGGCCCCACAGTTCGGGTTGCTTCGCCGGCTTGGTCAGCCTGAGAATCCGGGTAACTGGGGACACTACGTTCCAGGCGAGGCAGAGGCTCCCGAGAATCCCGCGGCTCCAGCTGCCGCATCCGGCGATTGGGGCTCTGGAGGCTGGGGTCGCGACGATCGTCGTGGACGTCGTGACCGCGGGGCTCCTGCTGCCCACAACCCCTTCGCTGTTCAGCGGCCTGAGTTCGTTCGCCAGGTCGTGGTCGAGGAAGAGGACGAGACCCAGAACTCGCTCCTCGTCATCGACAACCGCGATGACCGGGTGATCTCCCCGTTCCAGAACTGGCTGGCCGAGGAGATCATCTCGAATGCCGCCAGCTCGATCAATGTGCTGACGGAGCGGGACTCGGTCATGCCCCCGCACTCGGGCTACCACTGTTCGCTGTTCGCGAACTATACGCTCGATGGCATCAAGGCCGTTCTGCTCTTTTCGATGTCTTCGAAAACAGGGGGACCATGTGCTCAGTGGGACTCCTACGCGAGTCGGGCGCTATCGCACCCGGCTTTCCAGCCCTTCACTTGGCCGGTGATGTTCGACACCTCGGCCACCTATGTGGATGTGAAGGTCTTCAATGGAAACGAGGTCCTGTTCCATTGGGTCTTCAGGGGCTACCGCTCGGACTCGGATCTTTCTGTCCAGCAGCAGTTCTGCGACGAGGTGTTGATCCGGTCAGCCAACGAAGGATGGTTCCGACCCTCGATCGTCATCTCGGTCTTCGTTGGATGGAAGGTCTCCGTGACCTCGTTCGAGGTTGGAGCCCGAGTCTACACGATCGGCCCGAGAGGAGCAGTGATGGCGAGCGACCATGCCATGAGCACTTGTGAGCTCAGGGTGACAGAACGCTCGTCCCGAGAAGGCTATGGGAACGACGCCGATCGTGTTGAGTTTCGGTTCCGGGACGCCAATAACCGGATCGATCTCAAGTGCGGGAGGACTTCGGTGCCTGGCACGTGGCTCACAGTCAGCCACATCTCGGGCCCCGCTCTGATCAGCACGATCCAGGCCTGTCGGACCCAGCGTGCTCGCGTGGAAGGTCCAGACCACATCCAGCAGTTCGCGCAGCTGTCTGCGGTGATCGCCCCCTGGTACCACAGTGCGTTCGCCAACGAACAGGTGCAAGTGGGAACTGCGACAGACGAGTTCCCGATGGATCATGGGAACTTCCACGTACGGGCTAGATCTAAGCTCAGGGTCTGCCCACTGGAGTTCGTCCGGCAGGAGGCGCTCGCCCACCGGTCGCACGATGAGAACAACGCCGTTCGAGCTCGGAATGGCCCCCCGGCTCTCATGGAAGAGGCGGCTCGGCAGGCGGTTCAGCAGCTGGGCTCCTCGGTCACTTCGGCGATCACCAACATGCCCACCTCGGCTCAGCAGGTGTTCGACCAGAGGGTGAGCACTGTTCCGGTGCCGGAGGAGGGCCAGCTCGGCCAGGAGCAGATCGCCGAGGAGGTCGTCACCGATGCCCGCGATCGCATGAGGGCCGACATGCGATTCTCGCGCACGTCGGCTGCGATCACGCCTCAGGTTTTCACCGACGTGCTCCAGCACCGTGAGCAGGCGGAGTACGAGCGGATCAGCACGGTCAGGGTGGAGGAGACGGGCCAAGAGATCACGGCTTCCCCCTCCACTACGACCACGGTGCCGAAGGCGTTCGCCCCGGCTTACCCGCCGGCCAGATCGTCAACGGGGCCCTACACGATGGACAATTCGGAGTAGTTGTCGATCGAAGCCTAGGTGATGGTCGGTTTTTGTGCACGCTCCTAAGAGAGTGGTGCGCCGCGCGACCGAAGCCTCCTGGCGGATCAGCCGGGCTCTTCCGCGGAACAAACATGCCGAGCGATCCTCTCGGCGCGCTAGATCCCAGCGCATGTTCTGCCGGAAGTGAGATTGATCAATACCTGTCTCAGGCACGGCGCTCGGTTACCATTAGCAGGCACGTGCGATCGTTCGTGCAGCTGTTCAGGCCCAGCATGGATAGGTCCGTTCGGAAGATCCTATCCCTCCCCCTGTTCGGGGATGAATTTTGCCAATGGTTGGTGGATCTTCGGATGGCTCAGTTCGAGAAGCTCACGGCTGTTTCGGACGGGACGATCGCTGAGTGTGTGCAAGCATTCATTGATCTTGTCCCTGCCCTCGAGGAACTCCACACGCCAGATCGGCGGAAGAACGAGGAGGAGCTCGGCAGGTGGGTTCCGTCGATCGAGCTGTTGTTTGTGCTGGTTCGTAGCACGGCAGCAGCGGGCTGGGCTGATCTGGCCACTGATCTGGGATTCGGCTTGGCTGAAGCTCCGGTCGTCTTCGGGCGATCGCCACTGAAGTCGAAGGGGACTGGCAAGGAGCCTCCTATGCCATTGCCGCTCGCCAAGAGGCCGCGGGCGATCGAGCCGAGGCCTGAAGATCCGCAGGCATCGCTCAAAACCCGTGAGCTCGGCGAGGCCCGAAAGTGGGGCATGAGGCTGAAAGCGATCGTGGAGAGGTGCGGCGAGCACGCGATCGCGGGCAACCCGAAGCCGGGATCACCCCTGTCTCAAGATGAGATGAATGCATTGAGGTTGATCGTCTTCGAGAGTGGCGGTTTCCGCACTATCCAGCAGTGCGTTCGTCACTGGGAGAGGATTGAGACTTGGGCGAGGTCGCAGAACCTAGCGGTGATCCCGCTGACTACCGACGTGCTCGTCAAGTACCTCTTAGATCTCTCCGACCGAGGTTGCGGCCCCACCGTGATACCTTCGGTACGTGGGGCGGTCAAATGGATCTGCAAGCGGATCGGCTTGTCGTTGCCCGACCTCCTCGATCCCCGGATCATGGCCTTGCAGAAGAAGGTCTATGGCGATCGCGGGAAAGAGACGAGGGAAGCGGTTCCCATCCCTCTGATCTTGGTGGCGGCGCTCGAGCGGTTCGTGTGCGCTCGTTTTAAGTCGAGCCAATTCCCCATGGCGTTCTTCGCATGGTGGGTTCTCGTGATGATCTACTCGTCCCGACGACGCGCTCCACGTCGTGCCCGAGGCGCTCGCCCTGAAGGACGAGGCTCTCTATGGGGTGGTTTGGCAAACTAAGGTCGAGCGACAAAAGAAGGGAACGCGGTTCGCGGCGGCCAGAGTCTCCGTCTCCGGATCCGACTGGATGGAAGACGGATGGCACGCAGCTGCGTTCGAAATGGACGATCGCGACTACTTCATGAAAGAGCTCGAATCGGCTGAGCGATTCGCCGATCGGCCTGCCAGCTACCAACGGAGCATCCTGTGGCTGCGGTACGTGCTCACTACTGCAGCTTCGGACGATCTGAAGCGCGGGCACATCTCGCCCGAGCGGCTCAAGGAGCTCCTGAAGATCGTGCCGGAGATCACCTGGCACTCCTGCCGAGTCACGCTGCTCTCGGCGGCGGTCCAGGCGCAGGAGCCCGATAAAGAGATCGGGCTCCAAGCGAACTGGAAGGATCCGAGCCAGCTGGTCCTGAAGTACGCTCGGAGCCGCAAAGAGATCTCGATCGAGATGGTCAAGCGGCTCACGAAGAGGATAGCATCCGACTGGAAATCTCCACCGGAGTTCGAGGCCGACGATACCAATCTGGTCGACTTCGGTGATCTCGCTCTGACCTAT